GGGATAGGGTGACGCCACAATAGGGAATACAAGTTTTACATTGAAATATATAGGAAAAATCTTTAAAAATCTTCTTCTCAAGAACCACTGAGCCAGAAAAGCTGAAACTTATGTGGAAGCATCCTCAAGTAGTGTAGACTCTAAATTGTTCAAATCATGACCCCGGGGATAGGGCGGGGCCACAATAGGGGGAATCTCAAGTTTTACATTGAAATATATAGGAAAAATCTTAAAAAATCTTCTCAAGAACCACTGGACCAGAAAAACTGAAACTTATGTGGAATCATCCTGGGGTAGTGTAGATTCTAAATTGTTCAAATCATGACCCCTGGGGGTAGGGTGGGGCCACAATAGGTATTACAAGGGGGAAGTCTGGTAATGAACAGCATGGCCAAAGTTACTCAGGTGAGCGATGTGGCCCATGGGCCTCTTGTTTAGTATATACATTTAACTGCCACCAACCTCCTCTAGATCCGCGCATGGGGTCATTTGAAAATAGTATTCTCAAGAAACCCTGGACTAGAATGAGAAAATTTCCAACATAGCATACATTCATTTTTTTTTCAAATATTGATTCCAGGGAGAAGGTTTGGACCGGAAAGAGTGTTCATAATTTAACAAAGGAATTTATATATCCCCCCAAACGAAGTGTGTGGGTTTGGGGTGGGGGTGTTTTGAGTCTTTTGGAATCACACTGTCCGTCTGCCTAGCTGTCCGTCTGCACGTGATAGTTCGCCAAGGATATTATAACTTTGTTATGAAGAAACTGGAAGGTCATACTTGGTACAAAGATTACTAATGATCCGAAGGTGTGTCATGGTTTTGATGCAACATCATTCCAGCAAGTTCAAGGTCATTGGAAAAAAAATAGCAAGTATCATACTTGATACAGAAATTGCTTATGACAAAATTAAAGGGTTTGACACGACTTTCATCCAAGGTCATTCCTGTAAGTTGAAGGTCACTGACAGAAAACTGTAAGATTACTGTATGTGTTATAACTTTTGAAGCTCATACTTGGAACAAAGATTGCTTATGATCTACCGGTTTGAGATAACATAGTACTAGACTGGCAGAAGAAGTGGCAAAATATTCGTGCCTGGATTATAAATTTATAAGGGGTGGGAGGAACACAGGAAACTTTTTCTCAGATTGCTTGAGATGGGTTTTCCTGACCTTGAACAAAGGTTTTTTCGGCAAGTTCAAGGTCACTGCAGATAAATATTATTTTTTTTCCACATGCTATAACTTTGTTATATAAAATCACTGGAAGCTTTTACTTGATACAGAGATTGCTTATGATCCAAGAATGTGTTTTGACCTTGATCCAAGGTCTTTCTGGCAAGTTCAAGGTCACTGACAGAAAAGTGCAATATTCTTTTTCAGGTATATCTTTGTCATTGGGTATCACTGGAAGCTCATAATTTGTTCAAAGGTTGTTTTTGACCTTAACATAGGTCATTTAGGCAATTTCAAGGTCACTGATATAATAAGTGTAAAATTCAAAAAGGTCTAGTCGCCCAAATGGCGCAGTGGTAAGAGTGTCTGCTCTAGAGTCGTGGATTATGGAGTTGATCCTTACGTCGCAGGTTTGAATCCCACTGTGGGACGCAGAGACTGATCCTTCGGATGAGACCGTACAAACTGAGGTCCCGTCTGGCAGTAGGTGCTGGCACGAAAAAGATCCCTCACTGCTAAATGGCCATGTGTGCCGAGTATAGGTCAAAATTTGCAGATCTCCATCAGCAAATGGTGGCGTCTCCATATGATTGAAAAATTCTCGAAAGGGACGTTAAACAACATACAAACAAATAAACAAAAAGGTCTATACTTTTGTAATAGAAAAAATTGCATGCATTTGCATTTCACTGAAAAGATGATAAATATATCATCCAGAGTGTGTAATGGCCTTGACTTAAATTCGAGGTCACTTAGAATATGACGTTTTGGATGAATAGTCTGAAAGAATACGTGACTGTGATTTTTTTTTATGTCGGTGACATAAAGATGGTGTTTGCTCTTAACAAGCTGCAGAATGTGTCATGGCTTGACGCAAAGTTATTTGGACAAGTTCAAGTTCACTGACAGGGGAATTTTACATTCCTTTACTGTCTTTCTACTGTTGAAACATTGAAAGTTGATGCCCCTTACAGGATTGTTTATAACCTTAAAATGTTGCATGACCTTGACTCAAGGTCGCTCTGTCCTGTCCGGAGCTCCGACGGAAGACCTATTCGTTGCATTGCAACGAGCTCGGCTCTAGGTTTTATTGCTTTTCATGCTAAACTTTTAAGCTTGTATACTGAGAGAGTAAGGATTATAAACCCTGTCAATAAATGTGCCAGGAGGCCTCAGAAAATATTTTCTTTAAAGTTGTTTGATGACAAGGTGAAGATAACAAACAGTTACATGATTTTATTTATTGAATTTTATTTTTAACCTTAATTTTTAAATTTTAATATCTATAAACATTGAACATTATGAAATAGGATCATCAAAATTTTAGAACTTGATGTATTTAAGGGCTTCGGGTGTTGCTAAAACGTGGAACGGAAAAAATATGATTCCAGGTTAAATCACTTAAGATATAAAAATCATACCAGAAACAGTATACATCATATAAATTTTTCATATTTAATCCTTTATTGTTAAAATACGAGTTGATTTAGTCATGTTCATTCTCTTAATCATGAAGATCTCTGAACATAGACAAAGCACAGGGTACGGAAAACAGAACAGAAAATATCTAAATGCCGTACAATGTACATATATACGTGTAACATGTTGTGGTAAAATATGGATGAGTGGGAAAACTTTATTGAAGATCACTCTGATCAATATGAACGGCCGGTATTCGATATCCTTATGAGCCATATGAGGGAAAAATTACATAACTTTCAATGCATATGTACCAATGCACCTTAAGCGTGGATAACGTACCTCTTTGCACCCCCCCCCCCCTTCTAAAATATAAATAACAACTCTAAATTTTCTCGAAAATGTGTAATTTCTCCATCCATCTCTTTACGTTATTCTGTGCAATTAGTTTGTGCTGTTTTGCACAATTTGGCCATATACATATATGTTATCTTTCTTAAATCCCCGTTTCAGGTCCCTGTGGATTGCATCAACACTCCTGTAGTTGTAATAAAACTTTTTAAAAAAATTGTTTTCTTAATGCCAGTGATCGTTGTCTCTAGCACAAACGTATATATACTCTGTCTCTTTTTCTCCGCCTGTTTCAAAACAACATTGCCCCTTTATAATCAATAATGATGATTTTGTCTTTGACGAATAAGCCATTCTTTAAATTCAAATTTGGATGAGTGATAAATGAGACATTCTGATAGATAATTGGGATGTGATTCTAATTAATGTGCATTTTATTGACCATTGAATGTATATGCCATATGTTTTGTGGGAAAAAAATCATGAATAAATCACATTGTTACGATAACTTTTAATTAGATATGAACTACATGTATTGGATAAAGAATAGTGCTTCCTATGTCTGAATTATACCTGTGCATAGTGAAAAACTTGACATCAAATTTTCCGTTTTCAGTTTCGTTCCACTTTCCGTTCCGTTTTCCGTTCCGCGTTTTACATTATGTAGCAACAACCTAGGGCTTCTGGTTTTAAGCCAAAAAGAAAGTAATGTTGAAAAACTTGCTGACTTTTACAGCTATTTATTATTAGATCTTTGAATACAGAAAGTACTGGGATCATCAATTCTTGTTGCTTGTGGCCTCTTAAAGTTCTAATCTAAAAGTAATCACAGTGAACACAATTTTTAAAAATGGCTTCATAATTTGAAATCGTTTCAAACACTATGATTTGTAGGGCTAACAAACCTAAATAGTTAATACAACTTGGGGTTCAAGGTTGAATGTCACTATGACCTTCTTTCTAAATTTTATCACTTTTTCTTGTGAGCTGGGAAAGTGTGAGCCTAGGATCCTTAAATCCTTTCAGTGAATGTGACCTAGAATTTCAGGGTATGTTTTCCCCAAAGTAGATCAAAGTGACTTACCTACGAAGTGTGGGATCATCATGTCAACTTAATTCCTTTCAATTTGGGTGTCTCAACTAAAAAGTAGGACATGTTGATGTTTTCTGAATTTTTAAATGTGTGCATTTTCAAATCTTTTTGCTAAATGTTTTGGATACTAAGAGTCCTAGAATCATCAAACCTTGATGGGTTATGCATTTTAGGCCTCGCAAAGTGTTTCTTGACAATACAATTCGAAATGTATTAACTGAACAGTTTGAATACTATAAGATCAACAAGTGGGACACAAAATTCTAGTACTTAGTGTATCTTGGGTCCCAGACCAGAAATGTGACAACACAGATGAATATCTTAAATCTATGGTTATACATTTTGAATGTTTAAACATACAAATTTTCACACTACAACATGTAAATAAGTAGTTGAATACTGGGAGGCCTACGATCATCAAACCTTTTCGGTGAATGTACCCCGGGGACACCTTGATCTATCCTTTGATTTTCATGGCATTTTCTTTTACTTTCAAAGAATAAGATACTAGAAGCTCCAGTCTTAGAGAGTTTGAAGTTTTTTGGATACATCTTTGAATATATCAAAATTAAAGTACATTATATTATGTAGGTTGAAGTGGTTTACTGTTGGAACATCGTTGCTTATGCCTTAACAACTTTTGTTCTTCAAATAAGGTCAAGGCAAGAGGTCAAATTCATAGGAAATATGTTTGCTCTTTATATCTCTTTCACTTTTCCTTAAAAAGCAGAATCCCAAACGTTTCAAATTAATAACTTCATTTGGGATTCAGATCTAGATAGTTAATGTATTTTATTTCAGGTCATGATCATACTTTTAGCAAAGATTACAAGAAAGTGTAATCATAATGGTAGATTCATTATACGTAAAACACATTTTGCTGACAATAGACTAGAATTACATGGATATTTAATATTTTCCTCATACTTTTGATAACATTGCAGAAAAACTATTTCAGAGTCCAGGGATGAGTTAGCAGTCAGAAGATTATTTGTATTCCTTGAAGATAATATCATTTATGAATCCCTCCAGGATGATTTAAGACAAGAGTGTATTTTGAATGATAAAGAAGAAGATGAGTATGTCTGTAAAAAAAGAAATAGACAGATCACCTGCGAGAGACTGATTAAACTTATCATCAAGAAGAAAAAAGGCAGAGATTTCATAGATCTCATGAACAGAAAATATTGTCATGTTGCTAAGAAAATTACGGAGGCTTGTGAACAGATTCAAGAGGAAGCTAAACAAGGTAAATATCAAACTGACAATAGATAATATGTCATTGAGACTTATAATTATTTATAACACTGAATGTTATGGTCACTTAAGTCAGAAAGGGTCTGATTGCTTGACTGTCCGTTCTTCTTCCAAGTGATCTCTGAACATTTAAGTTTTTTTTTCACTTTCTCCAATGAACCACGGGTCAATTTCAGCCATCATTATTGTGGAGCTTCTATAAGTAGAGGAATTTACAGGGAATTCCATGAGCCCCTCCCCTTCCTGTAATATTTCAAAATAGTCCTCTTTATTAGCAAGTATCTAGAAGACATACTTTTAGCATAGTTATGAAAAGCAAGGCCCTTGCTATAGCCATTACATGGTGATTATGCATAATATGTTTAAAAATCTTCCCCATTACTATAAAGCACCAGGAAGACAAAACGTCAAGTCCATATAACTAACAAGATTGAAAATTTCAACTCAAATATCAAATCTGTCTATCCCCTCGATTTTTACGATTTTCGGTCCTTTAAATACAATTTTTAGTACTTTCACTTGTTGATAAGGAGTGTCACCATGCCTATGTTGAATAACATTAACAGGCATGTTTTCTGCTAGTACAACGATTGATAATTTGTTTTTGTTAATTCAGAAATTTTAAGCTTTGTATTTGAAGGTGAAAATATTCCGCATTCAAATAACATTTTACTGATAGACTTGAAGAAAACTAATGATAAGATCTGTTCGGAGTAGGCAGGTCTGAAATCATGAAATTCTTTACATGTTTCTGAGGTTCAGGCCCTAGTTAAGGTGGGACTGTTATGGAGTATGGAATAAGTACTGAAAGTACTGATGAATTTGATTTTACACACGGTTTCAATAAAATTCAAATTATGTAACCTTGTTTAAAACTTTTCAAATTATGTACAACATTAATGCTTTATAAGTTGGTATGTGAGAAGCAAATGACTAAGAGGATGTCACGATTTTACAGAGTTAAAGAGGTAACGAAAGGTTTTTTTCTTATTTAGCCATAACTTTGGAATGATATGCAAAAGCATGTCAGATTTCTCCGCTGCTGCAATTTTTTGCAAATTTTTCAGTAATTTAAGATTTTTCCTGACCAAAAGTTACTTTAAAAGTGCTGTAGCAACTTAGCTTTTCTTCAGAATTTGATACAAGTTGTGAATTTCATTTCATTATACAATATTTAACTAAACAATTTTATTTAGATATAGAGAATAGTGTACGTTTTGCTAATTTATCATTTGCATAGTGGCCATATTGTTTTCAATATGGCAGATTTCTGTTCAATGCATTCTGTATGAATATAAAAAAAACATAGATTGAAAAATAAAAATTTGGAATAATTTATTCTTCATTTGGTTCTATATTTAAATGTGTACTGGATTGGAATGCACTTTTTTTAAATAAAATAAAATGACGAAAAGTTGATGGTTCCTTCTGAGTTTGAAAATCTGAAGCGAGGCTTCATTACAATGATACAGAAAATGTGGTAAAAGAGCTTGGAAGGTCTTTATTAAGTAAATTTACATAGATTTACCATTTTCTGACAGATTTCATCCTCATCTTAGGTGTACATGTACAAATTTCAAGAAATGTTCATGTACAAAAGACAAAATTAAAGGCCGTGTAATCTGACAGGCTGATATCTGCCATCGTAGTTCTTTGTGCACTCTGTGGTCTGCTCGAGATATTTTTAAAATACATGTATCTACGTCAGCGAGAGTATTAATCAGCCAATCAGCACAGCCAGCAAAGGACTCTTTTCATTACTGATCACTTGTCTTTATATCACGCTTATGAGAGGTTGAACCACATTACTGAAACCCGCCGCACCGTGGCCGAGTGTGGAAAAATATACATGTTACTTCAAATATTATTACTGAGAGTTAGTCATAGCATCATTTAAAGTTCAAATGTTTTCAATGTATTGAAATTGAAAAAAAATTCTTGATAAATAATGTGTTCAGAATGTACAGTATTTCATCAATTTTTTCAATCATTTTCAAGTACTATTTCTTGTCAGCGGCGACAATTTTCCATTGATGATTTTCTCTCAGAGAAGTGATTAGGTAAGAACACTGTTTTGTCTGGGTAAGTGCACGGAGAGTTGATAAAAATCAACTCCCAAAAATGCAATTTGTCTTACTTAATAATTAAAAGTCTTTATTTTCACTAGCAGGTATGTAGGAGGCAAACTATATGCATAGTAAAAAATTAAACTACCGGTAGAGTGTTTAAGAAGACTTATGAATTATATGTCAATTGAGTCTTGCTCAAGGGGTCAGGCCCCGGGATGTGGCTATCAATAACTGTTATTAAAGCAACCAAACGCCTCTTAATTTAAATTTGAGTTTCATGACCTCTGCCAAAGGATTCAGGCATATGAAGGTCAGGGCTAAATGTAGTGTAACCGTATAGCGGATTACTTTAGCGTGTGGTCATACAGCACTGTAAGTATGCCTGTACTTTTGACGGATATTTCCAAAACGTTGTAAGATTGGAACTCCATCTTTCAGTCGTCCTAAATAAGTTTTCTGTATATTTTTATGTTTCATTGCCCCTTTATGCAAGAGTTTGAGTAGAACAAATAACAGAATAAAGATATATAATATTTAATATCAGATTGATAATTTATCTTTCTTGCGTTCAGTCCTGACAAGCAAGGGTGAAAATAGCGATTGAAGTAATGGAATTCTACCTAACCGCTAAAATAAGCCAAAGTTACCACCCCGATAGAACATACCGCTATACCAAAGTTAAATGCATTTTATTTTTTTAAAATCATCTTTACTAGCAATCATCTAGGAGACAAAAGTTGGAATTGGGAAGGGATTAAGAAAGTATGTTTCTGGTTCAAGTCATGTACTTACAAAGTAATGAAAGTATGTAAGACAACAAATGCTCAAGTTTCTCAGGTCATTATAAAGGGCTCTTCTTTTAGAGCAATCATATATTATTGTACATATTTGAAGTGCATATTTCAGGATTATCTCATGACAAATGGAATTCAACTATTGCAGATGGCACACAGAGAACGGCACCCTCTTTTGAAGTTACGGATGAACTTCTACAGAAACATTTATCATGCTTACATAAAGAACTTGAACCGCGGGAAATTGTTGATGAAATGTTTCAGGCAGGTGATATTTCTGTCAGAGACCACGATGCTGTGACTGATCCTGATAGAAAATACAAACGAGTGAAGGAGCTCCTTCAAATTTTAAAGAAAAAGGAATTGTACTCTTGCTTTATACTTGCACTACAGTCTCTGAAATATAAACAAGTGCTACAAACACTACAAAATGACAAGAAAATGACAAAGGAACCTTGTAAGTCTTAAACACATTTTTCAAGTAATCTGTGGACTTTATTGATAATAAGAAGTTTTATTGTGGTATTCAATTTTTAATTGCTGCGCCAATGACAATGTGACCCTGAAATTTATCAACATTTGCTTTATTTCTCCACAATATTTCATACTGTCAATGCGCATGTATTTTACATATTTAGCAGTTTAAAGGTAGGATTTAGAAATTTTGCTGATTACATTATCTGCATTTTACAACATATAAACTCAACATTGAATTTTGACCCATATAATCTATTTAACACTGAATGACAAGACCATTTACAGAATTTTACATACTAACCTCATCTTAATTTCATTAGTATTAATTTTTCTATTAATTCCACTACATCTTTGGAAAAAAAAGTATGCCTTTTTTATTTAGAATGTGAAGTACATTTCAAAAAAAAAAAAAAAAAGAGAAAAATATCGGTGAAGGTATTGAGTGCAAGCATCCTTAAGTAATACAAATTCAATTTGTTTCATCCATAGTCCTTAAGTGTGTTATGTGGCAACAGTCAGTAATTAAATGAAAATACAAGGAAACAAGTCTCTAAAAATTTCATCTTATGAACAGCTACTCAATGATTTGTCATATTGATATGCAAAAATCCCCAGATACTGCAGATTCAGGTTAATTTCTTATTTATTGATTTTAAAGCATCAATGTCATGTTGTATGGATTCTAGTTCCATTAGGCCGTTACGTCTTGCGCCTTTGCACCTATTATGGTGTCAACCATAACCAACCTGGGGTCATTTTTTTTGGGGGGGGGGGGATAAAGAGGACTTTTTATATAAAAAATGGCCTGCATAACTAAGCTGAGTCATGTAGACCATGGGCTTCTTATTATTTATAGAGGCAATTTTTTTAATATTTATTTTAATTATTACTTTAATTTTAATAGTTAGTTCTGTTTAATGTCTTGTCTTGTACATGTTCAGAGTATATACAAAACCTAGGTGGGGGGGGGGCATCAAATACCCTTCATCGTCTCCTTAATGTTTTATTTGGTTGCAGGGATTATAACATATTTTGTCAATCTTGTGATTTACCATAGGTTCAAGTGCATCTGCAAGCTTATTAAAATTAAATGATTAGTTAATTGATTGTTAATTATTTTACAAAAAAATATTTTTTTACGAAAATGTTTTCACTATTTGTAGCAGAGTATGCTGTTTGCATACAACAAAACTTCTGCCTTCTCAAAAAGGAACTTCCGGTCACTAAAGATGCTAAAATAATGGTGGATCAGATGAATGGCTTCCTGGACAACACAAACATTTCTGACATTGATTGCTTTACGAGTGCAAGACAGCAGACATCAAAACTGCTGAAAATACTTCTGATAAAAGGGAAATCTGCATGCATGGAGCTCTTCAGGGTTGTGGAGGTTAACCTAAAGAGAGAGGATCTGATCTGCAAAATGAAGGAAAAGAGTGCTGAACTGACAAAAAGAGGTATACATGTATTTGGTTTTGGTTAAAAATACATAATGATAAAATGAATTAAATTCTATTCTTCAACTTTATTAAAAGAGGAAAACCAATTATGACAATTTTATATAGTAACAAAAGTTATTCGTGTGTGTAAATTAATAAGATAAATATTACTGATTTAATTTTTTATCTTCCTTTCCCCCCCAGACAAAACACATTGTTTTAACCGAAGGGTTTTATGCTTATATACTGTTAAGCCCACTTGAAAGATAATCTCAAGAATTATTTTAGCTCGCATAAACTTAAGACTCAGATAAGCTTTCCTTGAACACTGAAGTTGTTTTCAGTAATTTTTTTCTATGTATCAACAACCAATATTTTGATAATTCTGAGAACATAAATTAATGATCATTGAATAAGACCATAATGCTCAGAATTTCGTTAATTAGGTATGCCTGTATTGGACCACAAGTTGGAGAGCCTCCAGATCACTTGTCTTGAGAAACATAAAGATTTTCTTCTTGAGGAGCTAGAGCCTCTTGAACTTTGTGACCTTTTGTTTGAGGAGAGGGCAATAGACATTCCTGATCATGACAGAATTACAGAAACAAAAAAGATTTTTAAGCAAGTCCAACATCTTTTGGAGACAGTAAAGAAAGATGAAAATAACTGTTTTCTTTTTTTCTTGTACATCCTGAAAAATAATGAATATTCTGTAATTCTTGAGGAGCTTGAGAAGTCTGATTCAGAAGCTAAAGGAGCAAGTAAGTATCTTTATACATGTAATAGCCAAAACTTTAGCAATGTTTGTCAGATACCATTTGGTTACTATACGTATTTTCTGTGATTTTAAATGTATTTATTAACAATGTAGTATTACATTATTCCTATTATTATTCTTGGTATTTGTGGATGCATACATATGTGCTTGCTTTCTCAGCAGAATCAAATACAAAGTTTGAATGGAGAGCATCACACAGTCTGAATACAGTATCTTCAGGTAAATGCAAATATGAAATTTAAACTTTAGCAGGAAATTAAATCAAAATCCAAGAATTGAGACTGCATCACTGCTTGTGTTGATAGACGGTAGAGAATATGAATTGTCTAGAACATTTACTTAATATTGGTTATTATTGTCATCTCCCTCGGGAGATGACACATTAAGTTTGAATCACCGGAAGTAAAGTCCTAGTGTAAGCTGCCATCGATAAACTGGTGGTCTGGCAAAGGAACTGACGATGACACGATTTCTAAATATAGAGATGTAAACAAAATTGACCAAAGTCTGTCTTATTATTATTAAACAAAATGGTCCACCTTAAAGTTAAAGTAAAACTACACCAGTGTTCATTAAGAGTAATAGAGGTAGGATCACTTGGGTGGTGGTGGGTCTTCATTAACGGTTTATGTACATAAACATTGTATCTAAGTTATTGCGTAAAACGATGGTCAGCGCGCGGGGATCAAAATACACAAAACATGGCATATTGAATGTATAAGCCAAGGCGTGGATCCAAGATTTACTGACGAAAGAAGACAGTGAAAAACATTTAAATAACAACTCACATTAAATGCATATATACAATGGCAAAAACTTTACTTTTATGTACACTTTAGTCAGTCGATAATTAATGCCGAATAAACTATATATATGAAAAATGAAACAAAAAAATAAATAAATAAATAAATAAATTTCGAAGAAAAGAAATTTTACCTGAAAGCATAATTTAGGCAGAAACATAAATGTCTCTGATTTAAGTAACTCAGTGCTGTAGGCATTGGAATAAAGATCATAAAGAATCATTATATGAGTATTTTCTCGGATGTGTGCAGTATATTCTTTTTTATTAAAATTTTCCCCTGTAGAAAAGTATTAGGAAAAGATACAGCTTTCTTTACCTGGCTCAGATTTTAAGAATTAATAAACAAAGCAACTGTTATCATTTTCTTTATGCAATTCTAATTTGCGTTTTTTGTCAATGAGAAAAGGTAAAAAAAAAATCACTCCTCGTATTCTTGAAATAAAGCCAAAATTATAAAATGTGTGTCTCAGGAAACAGCCTATAAAATCGATGTTGGTAGATTGGGGTTCTTTTCGGAGTGTTAATGCTTAATTTTAAATGGTAACGTTTCAATTTTATTACCTTTCTATGCATGAATTTTTTTCTCAGGAGCGTATACATGTACATGTACTTATATTATACATAATATAGCGTTAGAACATGAATCTGCATGGGCAGCAGAAGGACATGATGCAGGAGTGTCTCAATTTTTCCCTTGATATTCCCAGTGGCTCGATAATCAATCAAATCCCAGTGGCTCGATGGCCAAGTCACTTCAGAGGATACGATTAAGGAAAATAAGGAAAGTCTTGGGAATTAATTCAGGTTCAGATTAATTTAAGTTGGCGCTTTAAACGCTAAGTTTTTATCCATCTTCTTTCGGAATAATTGTTAAAGCTATATATATGGCGTATCTGAGCTAAAAAATAAAAAAAACGAGATTTGGTGTAGCTAAACATGATATATGTTTTTTACGTTGAAATTAAATTTTTCACCGATTTTGAACTTGAATAACCTCATATTTCCATAGTTCGACTGATTAAAAAAAAATTAAACTGCGTCTGTTAATTAAAATCTGAATCGGTAAATAAATCGGTTTTTGTTTTAAATTTCTAATATCTTTGAAACGTGATTGATTTAAACTGTGTAATTTACAGGAAAGTCCTATTTTTATATAAGTAATAAAACAAATAGAAAGATCTTTTTAATTTAGGTAGTCTGAGCTTATAAAAAAAAAAAAAAAAAAAAAAAAAAAAAGAAAAAGCGCAATATATGACTTTAAATAATTCTTACGCATATTTCTCAGTGGTTAGAATTTTTTACAGACATTATACAAAATATATTTAAACTGAATAAAGCATATTTACAACAGGCAAAATATTACAGGCACATACATGTAGCACCAGGAGGGTCGTCCCCTTCCACTTTTTCCCCAAACGTTGAAAAGGCGCACCCTTGACCCCTCTTCCACCTTTTGTTGCAGCATGGTACGTCAAATCATCCCATGATAATGTATTATAATATAAAATATGTTTGTCGGAAAAGTTGTAATCCCTCCTTCCACATGTTCCAAGAAATGAAAATGTTGAGTTTGGATAGCCCCTTTTTCCCCTTGTCAAAGATTGTTCAGATAAATCGTCTATAATTTTTTTTGTCCTCGACCCCCCATTTTTTCAAAAGCGATACTACTGGCTGTAATAACTGAGAAAATAATATAACATTCCACTGTTTATTCTGTGACATTAATGAAGCCAAAGAGATGACATTTCAGGCTTTCTGGAAAGCCAAACTTGTTTTAGAATATGTACAGAATAGATGTATAGATATAAGGCTTACAATGGAAAGTGCCACAGGGAGTCAGGTAGAGCAAGCTCTTCAGCAGGTCCAATCCACAGATACTGGTATTCTTGAGGAGGCCATTACACATGGACAAATGGACATTAAAGATATCTCTACTGGTTCTGTGGTCATACAGTTAAGACCGGTCACCGACCAAGCTGTGCAGACCTTGCTCAATGCCAGGGAAAACAACAGGCTGGTGGAGCTAATACTAGGAATGATAAAGAGGGTAAATATTCCGAATATTCAGGATATGGAGGAGCTGGAGGTCAAGATACAAGTTTCTTATACACACTCTGCAGAAGCTAAGCCAGGTAAATCTTACCAAATTGTGCATTTTGAACTTATCCAGAGCCTATGAATATGAATACAGGTAAATGATTTTCTTTTGTCATTGTTTTTCAGATATATCTAGGACAGAACTAATAAAGGAGCGAATAAAGGTGTATAGGAAGGAGCTTATCTCTGAGTTAGAACTCAGAGCTCTAACTTCTGTGTTATCAAAATCAGACTGCTTTGAACAAGGTACAATGGATTCTATAAGAAATGCTCCCACTTCTTCTCATCAACGAACGGAAAAACTACTATCATTGATTGAGAATGGGGATACAAAGATTGTGGAGGCTTTTATTAGCGCATTAAAGGATGTAGGATATTTAGAGATTGTAGAATTAATTGATCCCACAGATACCAATAGCAAAGCTGGTGAGTATATCTTTAGTATGTGGAAGGAGTATAACATTGTCCTATAACTATACAAAGTGAGAGGCCAACTAGACTCATATATTCTTTTGGCCCAAATTTTACATACATGTACTTTCTATGTGCATTTTTAATTTAAATAAAAAGGGGTTATTTCCTCCCACCAATCCCCTTTATTTTTATCTTTGCAACTCTGTCTACAGCTTGTTTTCATTCAAGAGATTACTTTTCAGTCACGTTAGATTATTAGTAAGCATTTTAATACATCAGAAAAATTATCTGGCAGTAAAAAGCATTAGAAATTAAGTACATACTCCATACACCCCAGATATATCCTCCTCTGACAATGAAGTGAATCAGCTTATAATAAGGATGACTTGAGAGGACAACATTTCAGAAGCCGCCAAGCTGTGTTCAGCATGCTGAATCAGTATCTGAAAGATAAAAATTTTGCTTCATTATATATTTGATATGTTTATCAATGAATATTTTTGCTTACCTTTTTATAGAAAATATCAGAAAGTGGATAACATCTAACTATAAAAATATTCTGGATGAAATGCAGATTACATTAGCAAGAGAAACATTATCTGCATGTATTGGAGACATTGATACTATTCGAGAAAAAATCTTGCCAAAGAATGGAAAACGCAGGCAGAGAATGACCCATTTCCTACAGTTCATTCTTCAGGAAGATCACAATGTGATTCAATTCGAGAAAACTCTAAGAAATAATGGAATAGAGGACTTACTGAAAATAAATGCAGATTTTACACGAAGAGCATATTGCAAATCAGGACATAGGTAACTTGAGGATGATATGCTTGTATTAACACAGTGCAGTTTATATAGTCATGTTTAATTTTGAATTGTTTACATCAGAGTTTTCTTCATACAATGCATTGGGTTTATTTTCTATTATAGAAGTCATAATTGCTGAAGATCCGAGTCACTTATCTGAGGGAATTTTATTTGAGTCCATCCTTAACCTGTCTCTCACTGGTAAGTTCTCTAACTTCAGATAGAAGCAACTGACACGAATAATAAAGACAAAATTTAAGGAAAATAGAAACAGCGTTTTTATAGAGATTAATCTTGATTAACAATTAGATGGAAGGGTTTGTAAATAAGTCCTGAGGTACAGTAGTGCAGATTTTAAATTGTTAAAATCATAGCTCCCGGGAATAGGATGGAACCACAATAAGGAATCAAAGTTTACATAGAAATATACAAGAAAATTCTTTAAACAATCTTCATCTCATGAACTGCTGGGCCAGAAAAGCTGACACTTATGTGGAAGCTTCCTGGGGGTAGTGTCAATTCTAAATTGTTCAAATCATAGCCTCCGGGGATAGGGTGGGACCATAATAAGGAATCGAAATTTCACAATGAAATATATAAAACAAAATTTTAAAAAAGCTTTATCCTTATAACCACTGGGCCAGAAAATCTTAAATTGATATGGAAGCCTTCTGAGGAAATGTAAATTCTGAATTGTTCAAACTATAACCCCTGGGGAAAGGGTGGGGCCACAATAAGTATAACAAGGGGGAAAATCTGGTGAACAACAACAGGGTCAAAGTTACTCAGGTGAGCTTTGTGGCCCATGGGCCTCTTGTTTGTACCAGTTTTCTTTTTTGGGCATTCATGGCCTACGAAGATACATATATTTGTAGTAAACATTGTTTTTCCCCAACTGCTTTAATAGCAAATTCATGTATATGTTAATCAGTGCCTTTAAATAGGGTCTTGCTGTGTTTGACAAATTCTTCTGTTTTTTTACCTGGTAAGAAATACATTCTTCATTCTCAAAATACAGTCAAGGAAAAGAAAGGAGAGATTGAATTTGAACCAACTGAAAAACCTGAAATTACCCGTCCCCAATTCCCAGTGCTTGTAAAACAAGCAGAGACTACTGAGCAACTTGCTAAAGAACCTGAAAGTAAACTATACCACGATGTCAAGGAAAAGAAATTTCTTGAGCCAAACAGAAGACAGGAGCGTGTGTCCCATCCAGAGAAGGTTTATGATGAAACTGGTACGTACAAGTAATTTATTTGCAATTATTATGGATCTTTAAGTATCTGCTGTGATTGTTTTGGGAATATGAGTTGTACGTGTCAGATTGATTTTTTAAGCTCATGTTTCACTGTCATGGATGCCACTATTTTTTGACTTAAGATTGGCTTTAAAATACTTAAAACCCGATTAAAGTTATAATAACAATTGCAACACCATTCCATTAACTTAAATGAGTTATGTTTCTAGGGATGATCACTGCTAGACTTACTTCGGATGCTGAATCTGATCTCAATTTCCAGATAGGTGACCTAGCTTCAGAATAATGAAACAAAAATAGCTCAGAATCTAAATCTTCTGTAAGATGTTTATAAATTACCAACTTAAACCCCAAAATTGCAGATTACAGCTCGTTGGTGATGAGCCATTGAAAATATTTTTATTTTGCACTGTTTCACTTCTGCATCATTTCAGCACCACATTCATATTTTGTCTTAAGCTTGAAATGTCTCATGATCCTTGCATGGGCAAAGGTAAAGTTTTTGGAGCAAATTAATCCATTCTATTGTAACTTGAAGCCCTATGGTTATAAACCTGTATTAACGATGCATCCAGGGATGTACTACCTAATCAGGCTTGCTAAGATGCTGGATCTGACCAACAATTTTTGTGGATGATTGAAAAAGTTAATGTTTTAAAGCAAGTCTATTTCAAAGTAGCTTAGCAAGTCCTACCCAGACCAAATTTGCCTTACTTCTGTATAATATTTGTCGAGGTGAGCTTCGTAATCTTTGATTACCTATGTATTTAGTTTGTGAGTCTACAAAAATGAGTTACAAATTAATTTAGGATTTCCTTCCGTCTTGGTGATTTTTAAGAATTATGACCCTTATGTAGATGTCCATGCTTTAAAATATTTAATTCTCCCTACCTTTATTAGTCCCCTACCGGTAAAACCGAAGAGGACTATAGGTTTCCTCTGAGTCTGTCCGTCCGTCTATCTGTCTGTCCCTCTGTCTGTCCCACTTGGTTTTCCGTACTTTTCTTCTGAACGCTTGCAGATATTGAGCAGATTTTTGGTATGTGAGTGTATCTTGATGAGTTACAGATTAAATTTGCATTTTGTTCCGCTTCAATGATTTTTGACGGAATTTCGACCTTTTCAATTTTTCAGGGTTTTCCGCAATTTTTTTTCTAAACGCTTGCAGGTATTGAGCTGATTTTTGATAAGTGTCTTTACCTTTATGAGTTAAAGATCAGGTTTGCATTTCGTTTCGCCTCATTGATTTTTGATGGAATTATGGCATTTTCAATTCTTAATGGGAACCAGATTACAGTTGCCGGTAGGGGACTATTATTGCTAATGCAATACTCTTAGAATGCTTGTTAACACTTCTTTCTGCAAGTGATGTCGTTTGACTTTTGAAACATCAATACTTCAAGGAAACATGATCCTTGGGTGACCGTCAAGACCTATGGGCCTATATTTTAAGGTCACCTGAGTCACTCAGGTGACCTATTGCTATCCGTTTTCGTCCGTTGGCGTGCGTCGTGCGACATGCGTTAACATTTGAATATTTTTAGCTTCTTCTCTGAAACCCCTTAACCAATTTCAACCAAATTTGGCATATAGCATCTATGGGTGAAGGGGAAAAATTTTTGACTGAAATGGATCTGCAGGTCTGATATGAATATATATCACGTCCCTCGAAGATCTAAACCTTTAGTTAGTTACAAAGCTGTTTTATGCACCATTTTTGTTCAAATTGTCTGTAAAAATCTTTAATTTAAAGGTTTTTTTTGAAAAATATAATAAGCTAGTCGGTGATTATTTATTTGTACTTTTTTTAGTAGATGTGTACTTTGTGTTTTTTACTAAGCATGTAATAAACACAGTAAAATACAATCTTTTCCATATCATATCCTGTATCAGCCCGAGACATCAATATGTTGAGAAATCAATTTCCGCCATATATGGTACATGCCAGGTAAAATATATTTACGGTATATCCATGAACACTTCTGTCGCGATTTGTCAAACAGTTTTCAACGAAATGTTTCCACATTTTGTACAAAATTACCTTAATATAAGAGTAAGGTACCCACATACATACATTTTGGGATTATATCACTTTGTCTGCCTGTATGCATGTCCGAATATTTATTCTTGAACACTTTCGTTTTGAGACAATATTCTTTACAGTTTTCTACGATGTGGTTCCATATTCGTACAGAGGTAATTTAATATAAGAGAAAAACACCTACATGTATACATTTTGGGGTCATATCACTTTGTCTGTCTGTGTGTATGTAGGTTTTTCCGAATGTTAAATCCATGAACACTTTTGTTTTTGCGATAAAGCAAACATTTTTTATAACATTTCCAAATGTTATACAGAGGTCGTGTAGCATAAGAGGATGCTGGAATCATATCGGTTTGTTTTTAGCTCACCTGAGCCGAAGGCTCATGTGAGCTTTTCTGATCAAAATTTGTCCGTTGTCCGTCGTCGTCGGCGTTGTCGTTGTTGTCGTTGTAAACTTTTCACAATTTCATCTTCTTCTCCAGAACTACTGGGCCAATTTCAACCAAACTAGGCACAGACTATCCTTGGGTAAAGGGGATTCAAGTTTGTTCAAATGAAGGGCCACGCCTTCTTCCAAGGGGAGATATTTAAGAATTCGTGAAAAATTAATGGCATCATTAAAAAATCTTCTTCTCAAGAACCACTGTGCTTGAAAATATGAAACTTATGTGGAAACATCCTCAGGTAGTTTAAATTCAAGTTTGTTCAAATCATAACCCCTGGGGTCGGGTGGGGCCACAATGGGCGACCAAAGTTTTACATAGGAATATATAGGAAACATTTTTAAAAATCTTCTTCTCAAGAACAGCAAAGCCATGATTGGTCATATTTATACGGTAGCATCCTCAGATAGTGTAGATTCAAGTTTTTTCAAATCATGACCCCTGGGGGTCGGCTGGGGCCACAATGGGCGATCAGTTTTTACATAGGAATATATAGGAAAAATCTTTAAAAAATCTTCTTCTCAAGAATAGCAAAGCCATAATTGGTCATATTTATATGGTAGCATCCTCAGATAGTGTAGATTCAAATTTGTTCAAATCATGACCCCTGGGGGTCTGATGGGGCCACAATGGGCGATCAAAGTTTTACATAGGAATATATAGGAAAAATCTTTAAAAATCTTCTTCTCAAGAACAGCAAAGCCATGATTGGTCATATTTACATGGAAGCATCCTCAGGTAGTGTAGATTCAAGTTTGTTCAAATCATGACCCCCGGGGGTCGGGTGGGGCCACAATGGGCAATCAAAGTTTTACATGGTTACATAGAAGAAAAATCTTTAAAAATCTTCTTCTCAAGAACAGCAAAGCCATGATTGGTCATATTTACGTGGAAGCATCCTCAGGTAGTGTAGATTCAAATTTGTTCAAATCATGACCCCCGGGGGTCGGACGGGGTCACAATGGGCGATCAAAGTTTTACATAGGAATACATAGGTTAAATCTTTAAAAATCTTATGCTCAAGAACAGCAAAGCCATGATTGGTCATATTTACGTGGAAGCACCCTCAGATAATGTAGATTCAAATTTGTTCAATTCATGACCCCCCCCCCCCCCACCCCCCGAACAACTTTTTTATTTAAACTTTTCAACCTTTCTAGACTGAACTTATTTCTGCTTTTTCCTAGCCATAGTGCTCAGGTGAGCGATGTGGCCCCTGGGCTTCTTGTTCTGTCTGACTTTATATATGTCTAAATGGATGTTGGTCATGGTTCGATTACTCTAACGGTTTTTATCACAATTATTTCAAATTTTATACAGAATAAGTTTACCATAAGAAAATCCCCCACATATTTATTCTGTGGAGTGTCAACCGCTTTTTCTATCAGTCAACACGTTTATACAAGTATTGATGTGATAACTAAAAGTAATAGTTCGAAACATTACATTCCGCACTTTTTTCCAAAACGAATGCAGATATTGAGCTGATTTTTGATATGTTAGTGTATCTTGATGAGTTACAGATCAAGCTTGCATGTGGTTCCGCTTCATTGATTTTTGACGGAATTACGACTTTTTCAATTTTTCAGGGTTTTCCGCGATTTTTTTCTAAACGCTTGGAGATATTCAGCTGATTTTTGGTATGTGACTTTATCTTGATTACTTATAGATCAAGTTTGCATTTAGTTCCATTTCAATGAATTTTGACGGAATTACGACCTTTTCAATTTTTAACAGGAACCAGATTACACTTGCCGGTAGGAGACTAGTATTGCTAATGCAGTACTCTCAGAATGCCTGTTCACTTTCAATTCGATAGTTTGAAATTCAATACTGTTTAGTTTACCTGAGCCGAAGACTTCCTTCAAGGGGAGATAATTAAAAATACGTGAAAAGAACTTTGTAAAGACCTATTCCTGCCCCCTCCCCCAAAGTCAAATTTTTAACGTCTCTTGAAATGTGCACAGTTGCAATAATTTTATAAAATAAACCCGAATTTACAAAGAACAAGGTACGGTTTCAATACAAATCTTGCCCTGTGTTTTTCTTGAAAATAAAAGTGATGTAAAAAATTAAAACTCATGCTTTTTGAATTATTGAAATTCCATGCAGAAAGATCATACAAATCTTTTTTCTCACATGACCTTCCAAATGCTAATTGTGACGTCATAAACTTGTGCATTTTCCCGTATTTTCTTGAAAAGTTGCAGAAGACATCAATTTTCCATGGAATTTTCTTTCAGATAATATTGTCCACAGGCATCGCCCACAAAGATTTTGAGATATGTAATTTTTCAAAGAATTTTACACAACATATCTAAAAATTAACGTGGGCGACGGCTGTGGACACTATTTTCTTAAGGAAAATAACCCTTGAAATGGGTCATTTTGAGACTTTTTCTGTTTAAAATAGAGAAATGCATCAAATTAATGACGTCATATATCAAGAATGGTACTCCATCATGCTATATTCTTTCCTGATTTATCACAGTCATAAACTCAACTAATATTTAAGCCAGTTTCAAAACTTTTTGAAAACATTAAATTTTCAGGGCACAATAAAGCTAAAACCATACCTTCTTCTTACATTAATGAAATAGAAACAAAAATCATCAATCATTGATTGAATCAATTTGTTCAATTTTGACTTTCCATTGAAATGTTAACGTCATTATCTGGATACAATCATTTCACAGCCAATAAACATATTTAATGCTCACAAGTCTGCGTATATCCTCCTTGCTAAGAACATACTTTCAGATTTCCTCATCAAAGTTTGATTTTGAGGCAGATATTGACCATCACTAAATGTAGACTTTTTATGGCATCTTTCAAAAATCTTCTCAAGAACCAAAAAAAAAAAAGGAACTTATGCAAAAGCTTCATTACATAGTGCAGAATCAACTTATTTCCCAAATCATGATGCACGAGTTAGGGTGGGGTCACAATGGCCGATCAAAGTCTTACTGGGGAAAAGTATTTAAAAGTCTTCTCTAGAACAGCAAAGCCATGATTAGTCATATTTATATGGATGCATCCCCAGGTGTAGGATGGGTTCAATTTTAGAAAATCATGACGCATGGGGGAAGGTGGGGATGGTGCATCACAGTTTTACACAGGAATATTTAGGGGAAAATCTTTAAACATCTTCTTTGAAGGAAAAAACGCCATGATTTGTCATGTTTATATGGAAGCATCCTCCAGTAATTTAAATTTAAGTTTGTTCAAGTCTTGGTCCCCAGAACTAGGGCTGGGCCACAATTAGAAATCAGAATTTTACATAGGAATATATTATGAGAAATCTACTGATCAATGAATAACAGCAGGACCATAAAACTCTGGTCAGCGTTGTGGACCATAGGTTTCTTGTAATAATCAACCATTGAGAGGTTATGGTATTGAATTATTTTATGAACTTATGTTGTTAATATATTTTTTTTCTACAAAATGTATCAGTCATAGGAATGGAGCACCATGCATTCAGGCGAAATACCCTTCTTGATGAGCTACAAAGTATTCTTCACGAGTATCCAGATAATGAACAAATCATCAAGGTAAGAAATATGCCTGAAGACGGGACAGTCACATAATAATAATCAAGTGATACTGAATTGAATTGCATATACATTAGAGATCTATATGTTGCAGAGAAATTTTTATTTCATCTGAGCATTTACTGATTATTATGTTCCTAAAACGAAGTTTGGGAATATATTGTTTTTACTCTGTTTCTTATTCTTCATTTCAACGAAGATCTTCCTGTTCTAATGTTGTTTCTTTTCCTCTTTTCTTATTATAATTGTTCTTTTTCTTACCGATTTTGTGCACGCAATTTCTCGATAACCGTCCAATAGATTTTCATGAGACTCTCAGAAGAGATGCATCATAATATGTACTGAATTCGCCCCCCCCCCCCCCCCCCCCGAAGAATCACTTCTGTTTGCGCGTTCGGGCCAATTTCTTGTTTTCAGAATGGAATTTTATCCGGACGACTTCTCGATTGAAGATTGAAACTTTAAATTAAACTTTTAGAGTTAGACTCTAAGATAGATCGTGACTTGTAGGTAGACAGATTCCATCTTTGTTGCCGTCAATTTCATTGTCCACCTAATGAAGATATAAAATATGCATTTTTAATTTTTTTAATGAAATGTTTATGATAGTGTCTGATAGAGTATTTCAAGTCATACCATTTTCCAAACCATAAGTTGTCCAAAAAATTTCTTCATGAAATTTAAGGGATTCTTCATACACACTAAATGTGGAGTTTTTAATTATTTTGAGCACCTCCGGAATAAAAAAGACCGGAAGTTGTTTGAAATTGAGAGATTTCAGTCTTTTATATATCTTTCTAAACAGTTTTTGAAGTATTCTTTTGCCTGCTTATTTCATTTATACCTTTCCCGTTCTTTTATCAATTAATCTATCTCAGTCAAAATTTTATCTCATCAGAAATCGGGCGGTAGGCCTTCCCTATGATCACAACGAAATCTCATCTTGTTAAGGTCTTCCGCCTTCATGAAAAACCTTATAGTGAGTCTTCTGTTTCTTATTAAGGTCTCTCGTCTTCATGGAAGACTTTATAGTTATTCTACAGTTTCTTATTATTGTTATAACCGCCGAAATATGGCTTATATATTGCCGACTCGGCTTAAAACAACAATAACCAACAATCAATCAATCTTCTTTCTTATAATTATTATTCTTTCTTTTTAGACAAAATATTAAGCAGGCGATTTCTTGAAAACTATTCAGTTGATTTAAATGAAATTTTCAGCAATTAAAGGTTTCTGTATGATGCTCATATAATTTCTTTTTAGAAAATTCGCTTCCTGTGCGAAATTTTGAACATTTCCAGATTTTAAAATGAAATTTTGTCCACTCATTTCTAATGAAAAGCGTAAGATATGAACTGAGAGACTTGTTAGAGATGCTAGAGCATGTCTTCCATGTGCGGAATCACCTTTTTGTGCGTCGTGAGTACTTCTGGTCGCTACCGGAAGCGAATTTATGAAGTCGAATTTTTCAACTTTTTTGTTTTTCAGTATTTTACTCTGATATAACTAGGTTTTAAAAACTTTTCAAAATGCTTTATATTTTATTTGTTTAAAATTGCGAAGTCGCTCGCATAATGTAGTGGTTAGAGCGTTTGCTCTAGAGTCGCGGAGTAAGGATATTATCCTTGGGTGGGTTCGAATCCCACTGTGGGACGTGAAGACCGATCCTTAGGATGAGACCGTATAAATCGTGGTCCTGTTTCGCAGTATACGTAGGTGCTGGCACAAAAAAGATCCCTCACTGCTAAATTGCCCTAAGTACTAAGTATAGGTCTAATTTGCAATCCTCCACGTGCAAGACTAGCGATGGCGTCTCCATATAAGTGAAAAATTCTCGAGAGGGACCTTAAACAAACAAAACACAAACAAAATTGCGAAATCTAAACGATAGATATTCGTCATTTTTCACCTTTAAGCGATGGTCCCTCTAGCGTAATGGTTAGCGTGTTGCATTTTCAACTGGGCGACCCGGCTTCAATCTCCAGAATGTCCAAATTTTTGGGTACTTTTTTCAGCTGAAATATAAGATTTTATTTTTTGAAATCATGTATGGTATTTTTTTTTCATATGAATTATGCGATATTTTCACCATTTACGTTTTATAATATTTCATTCATGAAATAGTCCATAGGAATGCACAACATAATATATGTTGTGCTATGAGTGAGGAATGAACTTTTCTGACGACAGAGAACGGACAAAAGACCTTTTTGTTTCTATGGCAATATGGTTTCTAGTACCATGTACATGTAGGTATTTCTTTCACAACGGAAGACCTATTGTGATTTTCTTTTTTCTTTTTATTATTATTATTCCTCCCAAATTTTGTGAGCGCGATCACTCAGAGATGTTAAGATACATTTTTTAATTTTTTTTCACAGGATAATACAGTTATATATGAAGTTTATACAAAATTCCTTTTAAAAAAAATCACTTCCTGTCCGAAGTTTCGGCCTTATTTCAAATTTTGAAATGGACTTTTGTCCGGTGTTTTTCTTATAAGCGGTTTGAAGTAAGGAAGTGAAAATTTTAGAATTACTAAATCCTAATAATTGTCACTGAACGACGTTTGTTTCGTTTGTATTCATTTCTTCCTGACCGAACTGGAAGTAAATTTCTGTTTCGGTCAATTTTCGACTTTTTAAAATTTTTAATCATTTTTTCAAGATGTTTTTATGCATAATAGAGGTTGTACCTCTAAACTTTTAAGAATAGGTTTAAATTTTTGAATGAATTTTTATCTTTTTCTCTTCTTTTAATTGAATTGTCTTTTAAAAAATTATAAGAAGGAAACACTTTAAATTATCCGTGTCAACATGTATCAATAAGTTCGCTGAGTTTTATCTTACGGTATTCGGAGAGTTGAATATGATATTTATGCACCCGGATTCTGGCTCCCAATGTGGTCCCCGTTTAACGATGTAGAATTCGTTGCATCCTCCGCAAGTTATAACAATATGTTAAATTTTTTGAGTCACATTACATGTCAGAATTTATAGAGAATATTTTTCCTCTGAAATTAAATGACGTGGGTGGGATGATACAAAATGTAAATACTGATGGGTGTCAATGCTCTTATATAATATATCTGTAAAATTTTTCTTATTTTCCTTACAGATTAATACATCTGTATCTAAAATAGTACTTGAGTGAAACTTTTGTTCCATTGTTAATTTAATATCTTGGTCAAATTCTCTTAAGATATCATTTAAAATGCTCAAATCTGAGTCATCTTTTTTCCTTATAATGAAACAATCATCCAGATATCTTTTCCAGTTACCCATAAGATATTCGCTATTAAATTCTTTATTCAATTGTTCACTGGGTTTCGTCATATAGTACTTCTTCTAGATACCCAAGGGTAAGAGTTACATATGTAGGAGCCATTTTGGTACCCATGAATGTACCTTTCAAAGGAAGGTGGGTGGGTGGGGAACATCTGTAACGGTCTCAGTTACAATTAGAACTAGTTGCAATTTTTTTGTGCGTTAAAAATTATATTATTTATGAAGACAATCATTCGCATTAATAATTCCATTATCTTTGTAACAAAATTTACTCTAATAATAATTACATTAAACTAAATGATTAAGTGAGATTTTCTGTCCATACGTCGTGATCTATAACCTTTTCATTATGAATTCATTTTCCTAAACCACTGGACCAAATTCAACCAAAAGTGCCACAAAGCACCTTTAGGTGTAGAAGATTTAGATCTATTCAAATGATTGGTCACATCCTTTTTGAAGGGGAAATAGAAAAAAATGTTGGCATCTTTTAGAAATCTTCTCAAGAAACCTTAGGTCAGAAAAAACAGAAGTTGCGTGAAAGCTTTCTTCATTAGCATAGATTTAAATTTGTTCACATCATGGCGCCATTGAATGGATCAAAGGTTTACATGTGGAGACAAGTATATATAGAGAAAAAAATCCTTTAGAGTTTTCTTCTCAAGTACAGCAAAGCCATAGTTGGTCATATCAATATATGCAAGCTTCCTCAGGTAGAGTAGATTCACATTTGTTTGAATCAATGCCCCAGGGGTTAAGGCGGCCCTCGTACACAACAAAATTGATAGAAACTTATATATTTTATATTACTTGTCACATATAAGTAATTTTTAAGCCACCTTTTAGATTTGGAATTTACAAATAAGTGAACCTTAAGCCAAGGAAAGTATTGATGAGGTACAGGTTTCTCTAATGCTTCTCTTAAGTAAGGATAATCCAAATATAGGTAAAACTTCCACTTATAAGTGAATATGAGTATGGTAATATATATTGCTTTAGAAAATATGTACATTATACTAGGTCCTCTTGATGTCAATTCTGAGTATTTGAAAGCTAGCTGCCAATCGAAAACTAACTTGTCCCTGCGTTAAGCACGATAATTAAAAATTTCAAGACTTATTTATTATTGTGGTTGTGCCTCATATCAGATACATTTACAATTAAAGTAGGTAACAAGTATGTATCATTAATTTGAATCGACTCATATTGTATGATATTTACAAATGGTCATAAATCTAAATGACTTTTTTGTCCAGCACTTTTATTTGTGAAAACAGAAATACTGACATAAATAAAGTTACAACATCAAAAAATGTCGTATGACAGGAAGTATAGATTTGCATAATTTTAAATTTTAATTGATAAAAGTTTAAGAGGTCATCTTACGTTTTGTTAAAGAAAATAAATTAAATTAAATATGTAAACATTTACGTTTTGACGATAGCAACCATGCATAGGAATTTACGTTTAAAAGAAACGTTTATTCTCAGTACTTCGGCCCATGCATATGCCAGCTCGATCCGACCGCCAAGCGTTCCTTAGTTCTTAATCAATTGTACAGTTTTATTGACGTTGAATAATATTCTGTTCCGGTGTAAGTTGAGTCAGAAATCAATGGCAGTTAAGCATAAAAATGTAAACACTGCCTTTTACAAATAACCATTTGCTTTTGCTTTGATTTATTTAAGAAATGTTCCACTCTGAGATGCCCTGTATTTAAATCACACATATATTTGACTTTTGAGGCATTTTAAGACAAACAGCTCATTCTTATAAAAAATCGAATAATGCTTCTTATCAATCACTTTCAAGTTAAAGTATAAGTGAAGTATAAGTCCTAAAGAACTAATATTTCATTGATACTTCACTGAAAGAACTACGCAGTTTTTTTATCGCAAAGAAGAGTTCAAAAGTAATTGATTGATAATTTTAATGCCAGTGTCAAATCTAAAGTTAATTATTTTTAGGCCCCTAATTACAACGCTTTGTGAAAGGGATGACACGATGATATCTATTGATATCAAGCTTTAAAGCATCACCAAAATGCTCATGAATATGGATAAATATCACTTGAATCTTTCCGTAACTATGTTTAATTCATGTAAAATTAAACATAAACGATTGATAAAATACAATTTTGTAGTTATAAACCCCTTGACATTGGAGATAAAATGATTTTTTTGTTTTCTGTCTATTAATTTATCCCCTACCCTGGTAATTCTTAATACCTATACAAGGGAATTTTTTTCAACGGGGGATGGGTGTTTTAAAAATATTTTCGTTTTTCCTTTGATTTCTATATTGAAAAACACGTGGTTTTTTTTTTTAATTATTATAACTCTATAATAGAGTTTTTCATCTTTGTTTTCCCGAATTAAATAAGCTATGCTTTGTGAAAATTCAAATAAATATCTAAATAAATATGAAAAATCATTCAAATATGTTTACATGTGAATATTGACTTGGAGGTAGGCGGCAGAGCAATGCTACCGTTCGCAATTCTCATAGATTAATAAGTAAAAGAATCACTTGTAAGCCATCAGAAATTTTTGTAAAGATCGGGGGACTTATTAAAGAATAAAATATATAGGAATATTAAGGGGACAAATCTTGGGGGAAATCATATAAATTGGTAGCATTTCCTAGTTGACCAAAGAAATGTTATAGTTTTACTGATACGAAAGCATTCCCAGTTGTGTGTAATCAAGCATAGTTAACATATGAGCCCTTGGAGCTAGGGCTGGGCCATAACTTGGAGTCATTTTTATATACCTAGTAAATGAAGTTTGGGGTGTTTTTAGGAATCACCTTGTTCCGTCTGTCAGTCTGTTCATCTGTCCGTGCAATTTTGTAAAGAAGAATCATTGAAAGCTCATTCTTCGTAAAATGATTATTTATGCCTAAGGGTGTGTCATGGCCTAACTCAAGGCAATTTCGGCACTTCAAGGTCACTTTTTTTTTTAAATTCATGTCCGGCTATATCTTTGTTATTCAGAATCATTAGAAGCTCATAATTGGTACACGATTATTTATGACTTGTGGTTGTGTTGACTTTGGCCCAATCTTATTTAAGCTATTTTTAGGTTAATGGTAGAAACTTGTTTTGATCTGGCCATATCATGTAATGGAGAATATTAGGGACATATCAAAAATTGCATATGATCTGAGGGTATGTATCAAACATAAATCAAGGTCATTCCAGGGAGTTCAAGGTCAATTGCCAAAAAATTAAAATTTTAAAATTTTATTTATTTCCTCTGTCTGTAACTCTCAAATGGAGCTAATTGAAAATTGATACTTGACACAAAGATTGCTTATGACCTAAGGGTGTGTTTTTAGGGGTTTTTTTTTTTGGTAAGCCCAGGGTCACTTGCTGAAAAGGTGTTAAATTTGTGTCTGGTCTTTAACTTTCATATGGATAAACATTGAGAAATTCATATTTCACACAAATGATACTTAGGTTATGACATTGACCCTCGAGCATTCCCGCACGTTCAAGGTCACTGGTAGAAAATTTTCAACAAAAGTGAGTTAAGAGTTTGTTAAAATCTTGGCAAAAGGTCACTCTGACCGGTTAAAGATTATTGACAGAAAAAGTTGAAATGGAGAATCTTTCACTCAAACATTACAATGTAGTAATATATGTAACCAGAGGACGTGTCATTTTCTGTTAAGGTCAAGATCTAGTAAATGAAAGGAGCCTACAGATTTCTCAAATTTGAGAAATTAATTCCTTTACAGATGCTTTTTAAGTATAGCTTGGTCAAATAAGGTGTATCGGGGCATATTTTGTAGGTAATCAAGATGAAAAATCATATTCTAAACTGTCTGTTTTGATGAAAAATTAATGAAATCAGTCATGAATATGAGAGTTCTTTCCTTATCTGACAAAGGAAATGTATCCAGATAGCCTACAGTCTCTCAGAATACGGTAATTTGTCTGTTCTTATCCTCTTCTTTAAATTAATATGAAATTGAGTCTTGGTTTCGGGATTAATTTTCACGTGATTTCAAATTGAATTCCATGAAAAAACTTTATTTTCTACATTATTCTATTAAAGCCGTAAAGTACAGGGAAAAAGTTTAAATTCATTATGACGTCATAATAGATCTAGCACCAAAAAGACAAGTCTAAAGTCATTTACTAGATCTTGACCCTAAGCAAGGTCATTTTAGCGAGTTCAAGGTCACATTAAAACATTAAATAAATTTGAGATTCGGGAATGGTTATTATTTCGTAAGTTTGTTACAGTATCTCTAGATTTTCTTCGAATCAAAGACGAAAATAAATATTTTAGAAAAAAAATATGGTAAAGAACAGTAGAGCAGAGGTTGACCAGGTGAGTGTTGCGGTTTATGGGGCTCTTGTTAATGTTGTTTATTCTGTTAGAAGTCCTTGCAAGAGCTGTTTGATTTAGGGTGAGATAATGATTAAAGTTTTTTTTTAATTATTTCAGTTGAACTTAACGTATTAAATACTGCACATTTAGGAGCTGTTACAAAATGCAGAAGATGCTGGTGCCCGTGTGGTCAAAATGGGGTTTTGTCCCTCATCCAGATCAGACCATCTACCCAATCCATACAGGCAGTATCTATCTGTAAGTCCAGTAATAGTTATCAGTATACATTTGATGCTTTGTGTGCTTTTTAGTTTTTTTGAAATGATTACATATAGATAACAAATTACAATCTAGTTCATACATGTACTCCAAATTTATGTACATTTTGCATTACCATGTAGAATGAAAATAGCATTGAGTTTTAATTATTTTTCGTAAATTCGTGCTTTGTATAAAGCGTCAAGAAACATTGAATCAGAAGTCTAACTGAATTGTTTTTTAATTCAAACACCGAGAAAGGTTCCTGTGAAAAAATAGCGAAATTATACAACAAAGTAAATAAATCAATGTGTTATGTTATCAGGTTTAAATCTGAGGGGTGATCAAAAAGCCAAAATCAATATTCAGATCAGAATGGAATTTGGCACACATATAGTCAAAAACATGTGCTATAAATAGGAGATGTTACGTCATGTTTTTCTCCATGTTTGTGACGTCACAAAGTGAAAATGACGTCAATATGTAGATTACTTTTAACAAAAAATGGCAAACTCAGTCGCACTCGAGCAACGAAGGGCTGTAACACGCATTGTCTGTAAGCACCAAAAAATCTTGGAAAGACATGCTTCGGATTCTGATGAAATTTGTACCACAGTTGTGTCTTGGTACAAAACTAGCATATATGGTGTCGGAAGTTCCACACGTGCACTTGGTTGCCATGGAGATGGATCCATTGAATTTGGCCATTTTTGGCCCTTTTTGACCAAATGAAAACATGAAAATCAAGGAAATGTAAACGGATATTTATCGGTATCTACTACACTCAAACTAAAATCATTGGATCATATGATAACTTGAACTTTTAAGGTACACAGGGCATATAATCATTTATTCTAGAAATATTCCCAATCTATGAAAAAGGTCATGCAAATTGATATGGTTTCTGAAAATTTGAAAAATGGGGAATTTAGCATTTTTGAGATCTTTAAGGCTAAATAAGAAAAATTGTCCGTGGAAAATTTCCAAATCTTATGTGTGTTTTTATACTTGAGAATTAGTAGTGTCATCTCATGAAAAAATATCGGTGGGCTTTTACTCCTATTTTTAGGTCACCTGAGTCACTCAGGTGACCTATTGCTATCCGTTTTTGTCCGTCGGCGTGCGTCGTGCGATGTGCGTTAACATTTGAACATTTTCAGCTTCTTCTCTGAAACCGCTCAACCAATTTCAATTTGGCATATAGCATCTATGGGTAAAGGGGAACAAAAATTGTGAATTTCATGGTCCCTGCCCCCCCTGGGGCCTGAGGGGTGGGGCTAAAACCACCAAAAATAATGCAATCTTTAAAAATCTTCTTTACTGCTGGACATCAAGCAGGCAAACTGTTGGCATCATTGTAATAAGCATTGAGCCCTCTACCAAAATTTGAAATTCATGGCCCCAGGGTCAGGGGTTCTGGCCCCAGGGTGGGGCTATATAGATCATATAGTGAAAGTGCATTATTTCTTTGAAAATCTTCTTCTCTGCTCCTGGGTATTGAATAAAGTAACTAAGTACAAAGTTATGAAGAGCAAGAGTGCCTCTTCCAAAATGTGAAATTCATGGCCCCAGGGTCAGGGGTTCTGGTGTTAGGGCGGGGCTCTATTGATTATATAGTGAAAATGCATTAATTCTTTGAAAATCTTCTTCTCTGCTCTTGGGTATTAAATAAAGTAACTAAGTACATAGTTATGATGAGCAAGAGTGCCTCTTCCAAAATTGTGAAATTCATGGCCCCAGGGTCAGGGGTTCTGGTGTAAGGGCGGGGCTCTATTGATTATATAGTGAAAATGCATTAATTCTTTGAAAATCTTCTTCTCTGCTCCTGGGTATTAAATAAAGTAACTAAGTACAATGTACATAGTTATGATGAGCAAGAGTGCCTCTTCCAAAATTGTGAATTTCATGGCCCCGGGGTCAGGGGTTCTGGTGTTAGGGCGGGGCTCTATTGATTATATAATGAAAATGCATTATTTTTTTGAAAATCTTCTTCTCTGCTCCTGGATATTAAATAAAGTAACTAAGTACATAGTTATGATAATCAAGAGTGCCTCTTCCAAAATTGTGAAATTCATGGCCCCAGGGTCAGGGGTTCTGGTGTTAGGGCGGGGCTCTATAGATTATATAGTGAAAAAGCATTAATTCTTTGAAAATCTTCTTCTCTGCTCCTGAATATTAAATAAAGTACCTAAGTACATAGTTATGATGAGCAAGAGTGCTTCTACCAAAATTGTGAATTTCATGGCCCCAGGGTCAGGGGTTCTGGTGCTAGGGCGGGGCTCTATTGATTATATAGTGAAAATGCATTGATTCTTTGAAAATCTTCTTCTCTGCTACTGGAGATTATTTAAACAAACTACATGTAAGTGCATGATTATGATAGGCAAAGATGCCTCTTAAAATTTTTAAATATTTGGCCTCAGTTTTTGGGGTTCTTGAGGGGGGGGGGGGCTCTATTGATTATATACTGAAAAATCATTAATTCTATTAATTAATCATTGATTAATCCTGTCTGCTCCTTAGTGTTGAGTTGATAAATAAATTGCTTAGCTATGATGAAAATGGGAGCTTCGAACAGAATTTTTAAATCTTGTGGTCCTAGGGTCAGGGGTTCTGGCATAACGAGGGGGGGGGGGGGGAGGGCTTTTGATAATATAGTAAAAAAGTTTTAATTCTTTAAAATCCATAATTATGATGATGAGGGTAACTCTTCCAAATTTGTAAATTTCTTGACCCTTGGTCTTGGGTTCTGGTGTTAGGGTAAGGCTTTGTTGAATCTGTAGTGAAAATGCATTGTACCTGTGAAATTCTTCTCTGCTTCTGGGCATATCGGAAGCAAACTGAGTAAAAGTTTAAATGATATAAGTAAGCGTATTCCTACCAGATTTTTGAACATCTGGACCATTTGTCTAAGCATTTTGGTCCTGGGCAGGGCTCTATTAATTTGTATTCTACTGAGAGAAGTTATTCCCCTTTTCCATTCACCTTTGATAATTAATCACTGTAAATAATGTATTTGAAAGGTTAATGGAATAAGATAATTATGCAAGAATGTTTATTGTATAATTCAAAAAGTACTTTCTTAGTTTTAATAATCAGGTAGACCTGTAAGTAATAGATAAATAAAAATGAGACAAAAATAACTTATCTTATTAAAAGTTCTTCAAAGACCATAAGAGAGGTCAATGCTAGAGGTTTTAATATGGGTTTAAAAACAGTACAGAAGCACTAATAGTTTGTTAATAGTCTGCATGGTGATAGTGTTAAGTGGGGAACAGATTGAACTTAATTTATGAGTTGATACTGAATACTAGACTAATTATTTTGTTGATCCTGATCTTTCTACTTCTCTTGCTTTAGGGCAACAAAGCTTCATCTATCAGTGTATTTAACTTCTAAATTGTTGTATTATACTCAGGTGACCGTTAAGGCCCTTGGGCCTCTTGTTAGTAATATGTATCTATAAATAGATATATTTTAGAAAAATGTAAAAAAAAATCAAATTTTGGCAAAGTTTTAGATGTCAATGCTGGATAATTAGGAAGTATATTGTAAATATTAAGATGTTAATGACAGTAGCTAGACACCACTAGCCGGAGTGGACAATGGTTGAGGGGGATTCTCATTTCTATTTTTAGTATCAAGCACCTAAATATAGATATGTCTCTGAATGTTAGGAAAAATGACAGTGTTATGCTAATTGGAAGCTTCATAGAAAAAGTCTTAACAAATATTAACTTTCTACAATATGCCTTCAAAAAGAACATGTGATTGTACAATAATTGATACAATATTGAGGATTGACTCTTGTTTCTCTTTATGGCAACGATGGTCTAAAAATAGATTCCTCGAATTATCGAGAAAATGTAGATTCTTGCACTTTTTCAGGCAATGATGGATGGAAAAAATGCAGACTGTTATAAACCTATGTGACTGACAAGTAATAGAAACCATGTACAGAAATATACACTATCTGAAGGGGGTTCCCTTTTCTATTTATAGCACAAACACCCATAAATAGAAACATCTCAGCATATGAGGAAAAATGACAATTTTCCACCAGTTGTAAGCTTCACTGAAAAAGTATTTACAAAATATACTGCTGTCTACAATACATCATGAACAAGAACATTTGGACAATTAATAATTGACACAATATTGAAGATGGACTCTCTTTTCTTTTTGTAGCAATAGCTGTCTAAAAATAGGTGCAGTGAGTTCTTTAGAAAATAGAGATTCTTGCACTATTTTAGACATTATGGATTGAAAATTTGAATACTCTCTATTATAAACATAATGTGACTGACAAGTACAAGGAACCAATGACTGAAATGCAAAATGTTTCAAGGGGATTCCCATTTCTATTTTTAGCACAAACAATAAAAACTTAGATACGTCTTAGTATATGAGGTAAAATAAAATTTTTTCCACATACTGGAAGCTTCATTAAAATTTTTACAAACATATTGCTACCTACAATATTTCAAGAACAGGAACAGTTGTTTAGACAGCACTTTACATATTAATGAAGGTAGGCTCACAATTCCTTTTTAGCAACAGTTGTCTAAAAATAGATGCTGTATTATGTTAATTCGCACTACTTGAGATATCATGGATGGAAAATTTGCAGACTAACTCAATGGTGAAAACGAAATGAAATATAGAGATAACGAACAATATTCAAACTCGAAGTCCATTTAGACAATACAAATTGGGAGCAGAGCAAACATGGACCTCTAAAAACATCAGAGGTGGGATCAGGAGCCATGGAGGAGTGAGCATCCCCTGCTGATCGAAAAAACCCCGGAAATATCCGTAGACAATTCAGTGTGTAAATAATGGCCTAACAATTAGTATGAAAAACGTCAGTCAGCATTTGACTGAATGATAGGTTGTATTTGCTGACAAAGTCATTGTATCGACCATAAAACTTGCGATATGATGACTTCAAACGAGACTATATCCTTGTTTCATCAATTTGTTTGTCAATAGCTTGCCTC